CAAGGCTCCCCCTCCTGTGATACCCGTTGAGTCCAGTTGAATTAAAAATCAAAACTATTGTTTCCCCGTTACTGTTGTTTCCTGTGGCTGTGCCCAGCCAACGCTTTTCAAAAGCCCGTTTCCAAATTCCAGGTTTTTGTAGCTTCGGCCCCATTGCCAGCCATGTCTCACAAGACACCTGAGTTTTCTACGACCCTCTCTTTCGCCTTTTTTTCTCTCCAGCGAAACTCTACCCGTGGAATATCTCGGTGGGAAGCCTCTCTGCATGAACCAGTATTACCAGATCCTCTCGTCTTGCCGCATCCCGGGTCCGAAACGCGACTCGGTGGTGAACTATGCCAAGGGGAAGAAATCTCCCACCCACATCACCGTGGTTCACAATTTTCAGGTAGGCAGGAGATCCTTGGTTGCTTGCTGCTGTTGTGGTTCGCTGGCAGCAGGGGTGGACGGCTGAGGTCTCTTAACAACGAGGACTCGGACGAGGGGCCTGCGTGTGATGCAGGGATGGGGCTATCGGAGAGTGGGGTGTGCACAGGGCTGCTCGAAGAAAAGAGCAGCTGAAGCAGCATGGGTGACTCGAGAGTAAGGCTGCAAGGTGTTGGCTCCTCCCATAAGGGATAAAAGCCAGCCTTCGGGGTTGGCTTCTTTGCAGGAAGCAATGAAGTTCTTTCTACTCAGCGTCCTCTTTGAAACCCTGCTTACTCCAGTTTGTTTTTTGAAATTTCTGGCTTTGGATATTTATCTGCAATTAGTCTTTTGTTCTTGGCAGCCTTTTGCAACCTTGAAAGGGCTTGCTCTTATCTGGGACAATTAGTTTTGAATGACTCTTGGCTGTGAATGAACAGAATTCACAGCACCACATTAAAAAGGTTTGCTTTTATACATACTTTGTGTTTGTTTGATTTGAACAAGGCTTGGGTCAGAACAGCTGCAGGCATTTCGTGACCCAACTAGATAACATCATCAGTGCTAGTGTGTGTGACTTGCTCCCTGTGTAACACTAAGCTTAGTTGTTTTCTTGCAGATTTTTCATGAGCCAACTAGGTAACATCAGCCAGGTTCATCCTTCATTCTTTTTCATTCTTTTATTCTTTCAGCAGTCAAGATGTTCCTTTACCCAAATGGGAAACAACAACATCCATGTGAGGGGGTGTAGGGTTTGTTTCCTGTTTATATAAAATTAACCCTGGTTTCAACTGGGAAACACAGCATCCTAGTCCAAAAATGCTAGATAATTCCTTAGACGAATCAACCATCAACGGGCACATAGAATGAATCACATCTACACATCATTCAAATGAAAAGCCAAAAGAAAAGAAAACAAGCAGAACGCCACTTTGCCAGCAATCAATACCCAGAGCAGCAGGATTAATACCAGACCAACAATCCAGCAGTGAAACAAACTACCAAGAAGAAAAACACACTCCCACCAACACTGACAGGGCAAGCCACTTGTCTATGAACAGTGAGCAAACCCTGCTCCCTGCTAGCACTGATGATGTTACCTAGTTGGTCACGAAACGACTGCAAGAAAACACTGCATCCATCAGTTGTTAAACGAATGGTTGCAAGTTGAGAACTGCCTGCATTTTCAGAACAGAATCAGCCTAAGCAATAGGAATGGAATAATACAGAGAGGAGGGTTCGAGGATTTTTGTAGCGTTCTTCACCTGCCTCCTTAAATAAAAATCAGATACAAATAAGTTCTCATATTTACTTGGTATGTAAGTTTAATAAATAACGATTTGCTGCTTGATCCCTCTGCTTCTTCTTTTTTTCCAGTTCTTTCAGCTGGATGTTTACAGCAGCAACGGGAGCCCCCTGACTACCGACCAGATTTTCATTCAGCTGGAAAAGATTTGGAATACGTCCCTTCAAACCAACAAGGAGCCCATCGGGATTTTGACAAGCAACCATCGCAACAGTTGGGCCAAAGCCTACAACAACCTCATCAAAGGTCAACACCCATCCCTAACTCCCAGGGACATCCCACAGGTCCCTTTCCAACGCTGTATTTTGTGTGTGTTGCCAGCTGATGGAGCGTCTCCTTCCTTTCTAGACAAGACCAACAAGGAATCCGTGCGCACGATTGAAAAGAGCATTTTCACCGTCTGCTTGGATGCTCCGATTCCCCGGGTCTCAGATGACGTTTATAAGAGCCGGGTGGCTGCCCAGATGCTGCACGGAGGAGGAAGTCGGTGGAATAGTGGGAACCGCTGGTTCGACAAAACGCTCCAGGTAACTTGGTGGGGTAGACCTGCCCACCGCCTTGCCTAAAACTTCTGCATCCGTCGTGAGGTTTCTGTGCAGACACAGAGACGTGGTTGGGACTTTTTATTTTATTTTACCAACGTTCCTCAGATTGCGTCTCTTTTCCAGCTATTTTAAGGTTGTGTTGTCAAGTGGGGTGTCCGTCAAGTCCCCACCCAATTCAAGGAAGCAAGAATTAAACCAATGTCATTGTACACATGATGTACAATGACAATAAAGGCTATTATTATTATCCGGTAGACTTCAGTGCGATGGCTTTAATGCTTGCTAGCCTTGGAGGTAAACAAGGCATTTACAATCTTTGTTTCTAGTAAGCTCGTTAAGTCTAATGAAGAGAAGGACGAAGGGTGACATGATAGCCATCTTCCAATATTTGAGGGGCTGCCCCAGAGGCAAATGGGTCAAAGCACCCGAAGGCAGGACAAGAAGCAACGGGTGGACACTTTATCAAAGAGAGATTCAACCTAGAATTAAGGAGCGAATCAGGAAAGAGAAAGCGAAGAAGGAAAGGAGAGGAAGGAAAGAGAGAGAGGAAGGAAGGAAACAGGAAGGAAAGTGAGAGGAAGGAAAGAGAGAGAGGAAGGAAGGAAAGAGAGAGGAAGGAAAAGAAAGAGAGGAAGGAAAGAGAGAGGAAGGAAAGAAAGAGAGAGGAAGGAAAGGAGAGAGAGGAAGGAAAGAAAGAGGAAGGAAAGAAAGAGAGGAAGGAAAGAGGAAGGAAAGAAAGAGAGAGGAAGGAAAGGAGAGAGAAGAAGGAAAGAAAGAGAGAGAGGAAAGAAAGAGAGAGAGGAAGAAAGAAAGAAAACTTGTGTATTGCAGCAACAGAGCCAACAAAGCAAGATTCCTTATTTGGGTGCCGGTGCCAATTTCATCTGGATTTCTCCTTGCAGTTCATCGTGGCGGAAGATGGATCCTGCGGGTTGGTGTATGAGCATGCGCCATCCGAGGGCCCCCCCATCGTGGCTCTGCTGGATCACATTGTGGAGTACACGTAAGACAGCTTGGCTTTCAAATTGCTTTTATTTTATTTATTTCCCCCGCCACCACTCCCTTTTTCTGGCAACCGATAACATAAGCCAGTTCGCTCTTCAGCTGATATTTGCTCGTCTTTTCCACACACGTTTCTAATTCAAAAAAGGCTCCCTGATTTTCTCTCTTTGAAAAGAAAACACCCATTTATTTTATTTTTTCTTTTCTGTGCTTCAACTATGTCCCTTCCTGCTTTTGGTAGAAAGAAGCCGGAGCTTGTAAGATCTCCCATGGTCCCGTTACCGATGCCAAAGAAACTACGGTTTAATATCACTCCAGAAATCAAGAACGATATTGAAGATGCCAAGCAGAATCTCAACATGTGAGTAAATGGGGAGGGACAGTTTGGACAAGTGACCCTGTCCCAACTTTGGACAGGTTGAGAAAAGCCGGTATGGAAAAATCCGAATTCCTGATCGACTTTTTTTCTAGCCAGTATCTGGAGGCGCCTTCCTTTCCTTTGAAAGAAATTGTCACGTTTCTAATCCATGTGAAGTTTGAAGGCGTCCTTTTTACAGCTTCATAGTCCGTAAGTTGAGGACCGCTTGTAAAGGATCCTTAAAGGAGACCTTGTTCAATCTGTGTCTCGTCCTTTTTCTGCAGCATGGTGCAGGATCTGGATATCAAGGTGATCGTGTTCCATCAATTTGGGAAAAATTTCCCCAAGTCGGAAAAGATCAGTCCAGATGCTTTTATTCAAGTCGCTTTGCAGTTGGCTTACTACAGGTAAATGGGGAGCTGGGTTGGTTGCTCTGGATTCTTCTGGTGGGTTTTTATTGTTTGAGGATAAAGATTGCTTCTCCTTCCACTTCTCCTTCTCTTACTCCTCCCATCTGCTGGGAAACTGGTGAATTTCCTTGGAGAAGCTGGTGGGCCCCTGTAAGAACCTGTCATGCCCCAGTTGGAATCTGATTCTGAGGGGGAGGCCAAGCAGCTGACAGGGAGTGGGCTCTGGTGGCTGTGGAGGAAACTGGGGAAAGGCACAGTCCGGCTGGGCATTCAGCGGAAGACCTGGGCCCAGCCCTCTTCATCCTAGGGCACACAGGGAGGAACGGAGAAGGGAGCAACATGGGTTACGGGGGAGAAAAAGGCCCTGATTCCCTTCATTAGCTGCAGCTGGGAAAACAAGATATAAAGGGCGTTTGCGCACAGCAGCTTGCTGGAAGCAAAATGTGCATTATCTTTGTTTATCAAGTCTTATCTGGGTTCTGGCCTCCTCCCAACTGTGTGTGTTTTGTTATCTTTTTGAAGCCTGCAATTCCTTACCCTGCCCTGTCCCTTTAATTGCTGCAGCGTGGTTTGTGTTGGTTTTTATTTATAATTTAGATGTATTTTGGGGTCGCACTGAATTTCTTCCCTTTAAAAACTGTTCTTGGGAGAATTTTTTCTCCAGCCGATGATAACTGGACATTGGGGGGCCAAGTTGGAGGAATTAAAGGGACTTGACCTACTTTTGTGACTTTGTTGCTTTTGTGCCACGCCCCTTTGGGTCATCACAGAACCAATCCAGGTCTAATCCAGCAGGGCCCTTCATAGCTTCGTACACTCTTATCCAACCGCCCAAGAAAAGCCACCTATCTCCCAGCAGATGTCTTCAGAGAGCTGGTCCAACTGCCCTCACCGTCAAGAGCCCTTGATCCCCCTAGCACCTCCCATGAACTGCTCCTTTCTGTTTTCGGAAGCCAATTTGAATTTAGGGTGTGGGAACCCTGCATTTTCTATTTCCCACCCTTGCTTCTTTTTCTTGTTGTGTTTTTAGGATGTACGGAGAGCTTTGCTCCACTTACGAGAGCGCCTCGCTTCGGATGTTCCGTCTCGGTCGGACAGACACCATCCGCTCAGCCTCCGTGGATGTGCTGAAGTTTGTACAGTCCATGAGTGCTGACAACATCCAGGTGGGCTACTTGGCATCCATGTTTTACCCATCATCATCATGATCTTCTTTGAACGACCCCATGATCCCATGCGAGGTGGAGACTGGGCAACTGAATGGTGCTAGCAGTGTGTTTTAATGGCCGGATGCCTTTCCTGTCACCAATGCAGAATTTTGTCCAGCAGATATATTCTCATTGTACCCAAATATCTGCCTCTACCTAGGATCGAACTCTCAGCCTCCAGATTGTGTGGCAAGAGCTCCATCTCTATGCCACCATGTTTTACCCGCGATGCCTGGGTAAATTCAAGAAAATTCAGAAAAAACAGGCTGCTTTTTTCTTTTCCAGGCTGTAAATTTTTCTTTCTCCTGCTTTTCATTTCCAAGACGGATTCTTGCATTTATAGAATCGAGGTTGGATATTTATTGTCATAAATTAACTTTTCTTTTTCTTTTTTTTTTTAAAAAAAGGAGAATAACAACTGTAGACAGATGAAAGAAACTTTTTCAAGTGGATCAGATATTTTTTTTAAAAGGCAAGGTTTCCGCAATCTGCCCTTAACAATGGAAAAGCAGAAGTTTAACCAGATTTATTGAAAGGGGCAGAGGTAAAGATACCTTGAGTCTCTTGCTAACCATCCATTGACACACTGGGGAGATAGCTACCTGTTTTCCAGAGAAAGGGAAAATAAATAGGTCCTGTACTTGTACTATTTTGCAAATCTCTGCCATTTTTCTGAGACCCTTAGAAACACCTATTGGTTACGTTTTGCGACTTATATTTCTTCCTTAGGATCAAGAGAAGGCAGAATTGTTGAGGCGAGCCACCCAGGCGCACCGAAGCTATACTGACATGGTGGGTGTTATTATTTTACATTATAAATAACAATCACTAACATGGGGTTTATTGCGTATAACCTTGTTTACAATTTGCTATGCTGTGCAGTAACTTAACGTGTAAGAAGTTTCGTTCTAGTTCTTGTTACCATTGCTGTGTTTTCTTGCACACTCAGCCCAGAAGTTCAGATCGGATTTGGCATTTTTATCTGCCTGTTGAACCCCTTCCAAAGAACTTGGGATAGGCAGTCATTGAACTTTTGGGGGGGTTACATGTCTCGTCGCAGGATGTTTTTAGTCTTATCATCTCTCCCAAGGCCGTTCCCACAGACTGTAACATCGAAACCTTGATCAGCGTGGAACTTAACTGTTATTGAGCACTGATGTTACTTAGTAGGATAAATGAAACGTCCACAAGAAAACTCCCAAGCTCAGAGATCACCAAGGACCCCACATCCGCCTCCTCCTCCTCCTCTCCACAAACCCCACTCTCTTCTGGCACTGATGATGTTACCTAGTAGGGTAACCCAAATGCCTGCAAGAAAACAACACCAAGAGGGTCCTCCCATTGTCCCTTTCGATAGCGATAACCTCTGAGCAGCGACAAAATTGTTCCCTCCATGTTTCTCTCTTTCCCCATAGGCCATTAGAGGAAATGCAATCGATCGTCACCTTTTGGGCCTGAAGCTCCAAGCAATTGAGGATCTAGTAAGCATTCCCGAACTCTTCATGGACACCGCTTACGCCGTGGCCATGCACTTCAACCTCTCCACCAGCCAGGTGAGCTGCCGTTGCAGTGGATCAGGGTCTCGGGGGGGTTATTGCTTTCCGCGTGGATTTATTGGGCAGCGGTGCACTGCCTCCAAGCCATCTCTTGTGTTATATTTTTCCTGAGTTTTTTTGTTTTTTTTTTTGTGGGGGCATGTTCAATAGTTTACAGACAGTCCTCGACTTATGACGATAATAGAGCGTGCCCGTCTGATTTTAAGTGGCAATGGTCGTAAATGGGGCCACCAGTTTGAGGGGGCGCGAGAAAAGCTAGAATGGGGGAAGGAACCCCAGTTTAATTCCATCCATCCATGTTTGCTTGTTTAATTTACTGTTCTTGTATCCTGCCTTTATTATTTTTACAAATAACTCAAGGTAGCGAACATACCCAACATAACTTCCTCCTGCATTTTCCCAGCAACAACCTTGTGAGGTGGGTTGGGCTGAGAGAGAGGGATTGGCCCAAAGTCACCCAACTGGCTTTCATGCCTAAGGCAGGACTAGAACTCACTGCCTCCTGGTGATTTGCCCAAAGTCACCCAGCCAGCTTTCCTGCCTAAGGCGGGACTAGAACTCCCCGTCTCCTGGTGATTGGCCCAAGATCATCCAGCTGGTTTTCATGGCTAAGGCGGGACTAGAACTCCCCGTCTCCTGGTTTTTAGCCCGGTGCCTTAACCACTAGCCCAGAATGTCCACTCCTCCCTGCAGGTGCCCGCCAAGACAGACTGTGTGATGTGTTTTGGCCCGGTGGTGCCGGATGGTTACGGCGTTTGCTACAACCCCATGGCGGAGCACATCAATTTTGCCATCTCGGCCTTCAACAGCTGCAGCGAAACCAACGCAGCCCGGATGTCCCATTACATGGAGCAAGCATTGCTGGACATGCGGCTCCTGCTCCAGTCCAATCCCAAGTCCAAGCTTTAAGAGGGGAAGCAGGGGAAGAGGCGAACGACCGGTTCGAATGACTGGCCTTCTGGGTGGGTTTCATCCACGCCCTGGACTCCCCACCCCTCCCTCCGAAGGATGGAAGACTTTTTCCTGGTTGCGTTTGGGTTTGCGGGATGGAAATGAACTCCCATCACTCAACAGGGGAGATACCCTGCTCACCTTTCCTGTGTTCGTATGACTCTGTGCCTTAAGAGAGGTTTCGCGGGGGAGAATGGGGAGGGGGAGCTTGTGAATCAACGGGAATCCGTGGACCTTCCTTGGTTGGATGCTGGGTTGAAAGGGAAGGTCTTGGCTCAAAGCCTCCTGAGAAGTTTGGCCTGGGATTTTGCACAATGTTTGTTCTCCGTGGGAATATAACAAGTCCGTTTCACAGCATCCGTTACTATGATGGTTTTCATGGTAGAGCCATTTTCTGGTTTGATGCTAAAGATTGCTTCCTTTTCTTCCTCTCCTTCTCCATCATATCATTTTTTTTGTCCTCATTCTCATCTTCTTGTCCTCTTTCCCCTTCTCCATCATCATTCCTCTTCTTCCTTCTCCATCATCCTTACTCCTTGCCTTCCTCCTCCATCATTACTCCTCCTCCTCATCCCTTATCTCCTTGCCCTCCTTCTCCATCATCATCCCTCCTAATCCTCTTCCTTCTCCATCTCCTCCTCCATCATCATCTTTTCGTCTCTCCTTCTCGATTTTCCCTTCTCCATTATTATGCCTTTTTGTTGAGTTGCTCACAATCCTTGTCACCCACAGTGCAATTTCGGCCTCATACAAGTCCTAGTTAACCCATCCACCTGGCTGGGTTACCTGGACCAATGGCCGATTCTTGGATCTTACAAAATCGGCTGAGAGCTTTGTCTTGCTCGAGTTGATGTTGAGTATTTGATAATGCCAACATTTTTCTAGGATTTTCTGTGCCAATAGATGTCATTTCATTAAATAAGCCTTTTTAAAAATGCTTTTGTTGGGAGATTAGCTCTAAATTTCTACCAGTTTTTCTTTTTTAGCTTCCTTTGCTGGTTTCTGGCTATCCAGTTCTGGGTATTTATGTTAAGTCACCCTCATTAGACCCCTGGAAACAGATTTTTAGATTATCTGCACATTTTTGTACACTGGCATCCATCTGTCCACACAACCTCCTTAAAGACCACCAAGTTTTTAGCAGCTACAATTTACACAGCCAAAGATGGAGGGATACTGTCCTTCCACATTGTTTTAGTTTGGCAGATTTGTGAACTCAAAAAGCTGGTTATTTGAAAAGACAGATTAAGCTGGTAGCATGAATGCAACCATTTGATAAAGCAAAAATTTGCATTTCAGGATGTGTGGAATAAGATGTAAATATAACACCCACGGTTATGGCATGGCTAAAAGTCAACTTTTGGATTTCATTGCAATAAAATCCATGCCTGCATTTTGAATAATAAAATGTGTTATGTTTCTAGAATGGAGAAACCAAGATGCAGCTTTCTTTTTTCTTTCCCTTTTTCCTTCCTTCCCTTTCTCCTTCCCTTTTTCTTTCTCTTTTCTGTTGTTCTACCACCAGAGCTCCATGGCTAACGTGTCATAGGAGAATTCATATAGTGTCAAATTAGATTTGGGTGATGTCGGGACCAGAAGGATGAGGCAAATCCTCCCCATAGGTAGCATTTGCCACCATGTTCATGAGATCTGGTGTCTTGATGAAAGTGCATTAAGTGAAACCCTTTAGTTTGCACGGAAGTGCCTTATATTGCCTGCTCCTAGGGATAAAATGTAAAGTGGTTTACAAATTATCATCTTGCAAGTTGGTATTTCAGCTTTGAAGTTTTTAACAGTTGCGCTGTACATTTAAATGCAAATGGGGTGGGTAACTTTAAAAATAGCTTTTAAAGCAGCATTTCCCAACCTTAGCAAGTTTAAGATAGGTGGACTTCA